TACTTTACTACCAGTCTCTTGTTTGTTTTGATACTTACAGTTTCTTTACGCATAAGGTGTAACTCATGCAGTGCCTGGGAGCCGACAGGCTCTTCAGTAACCCCATGAGTCAGCAGCCCACTCCAGCGGAAGGGATATCAGAATCTGGACACTGGGAGGGACTGACCGGCACCACAGCCAGGACAACGGACATGGCTGAGAGAGGGTGGCTGATGTCCCAAGACAGAAGGGGGAGTGGGAAGTAGTTACACAGATATTCGCCCCTCTAAGCCCTGTCCTCTTATCTAGCTAATGAGCCTAATCCAAACACACAGCTCAGTGCCAGGGCGCCTGCACAGAGCACAGCCTGGAGGCCAGTCACACAGCCCGGCTTACTGGGCCCACGCCACCCTTTACTAACCAGTCAGACCACTGCCCTCCCTTCCCACACCAGTCTACATCTGGATTTTTCTTTGCTGTGTTTCCCGACTCGGGGCTTCTTTCACACACAAAAGTTTTCAGTCTGCGCATGAAGGTTTTGATCGAGGTGTACTTTATTGGTGCTGTGCGCTGGCCCCTCAGGGGGCCGCCATGCTAGGGCCATCAACACCCCACCCCCCCCAAGCTCACCTGCCCGCGGGACGTCTGGCTGAGACCCCTCGTATCGGCGCCTCCACAGCGCTCACAACCTCCTTCATCACCAAGATCAGCGCGCGGGAGAGGGGGGTCGGACAGCGGGTCAGGGGGAGGAGGGCGAAGACGTCCCACCCCCTGAATTACGGGGGAAACCCAGGGAGCCCAGAGCAGCACGGAGCCAGGACACCTGGGTTAACACCCCTGCTCTCACGAGAACTGTTGTGCGATCTTTAACAGCCAACGAGCAGATTAACATCCCTTCATGAGGACCCTCTTACAGCCATGTCCCCCGGAGCGCTGGCTAGGAAACTCAGTTTCAGAGGACTGGGACCCTACTGGTCCACCAACACCACCAACGTTCCTGGCAATGCAAGATTTGAAAGACGGTGTTTGTTTTATGAAGAAAAGTGATTGACACCGGAGGAGTGCCCACACACTGCCTGTTTGTCGGGAGTTCTTACCTTGGTGGGTACATTTTCTCAGATCCCGTCCCACATTGACAGTGATATGGGCGTCCAACACACACACACACACACACACACACACACACACACACACACACACACACACACACACACA